TAGTTTTAATGAACAGCTTGTTACTGTGTTTGAAATGGGGTATGAACTTTACAGTTTTTAGAAGAGAGAATAAGGTTACATCAAAGTTCTAGAAATTGTTATTCTTTGCTCAAGAAACAAGTGAATAAGATCATGCAGTTTTCTATTGTGACTTAAAGAAAACACTGTAGTGTTTAATTCTGAGAAAGTCATCTAGTGCATGTAATAGGACAGAAAATACAAAATTGCGCTATTAGGTTTGCTGAGGAAAAAAAGGAGTAAGACAAAATGGGAAAATGAAGGTTATAACCAACTGACAGAAGCTATAACAATAAAAGATACCAACTGAATGATTAAATGACAAGTATCTGATAATAATATAAAATAAAGGCTCCAACTGGAAATACTTTGTTTTATAGGCCAATTACTAGATGTTAAAAAATTAAAGAAAACATATCTTTAAATAAATAATATAGGGGCTGGTGAGATAGCCCAGCAGACTAAATACCTGCTTAGGCCAGCGCAGGGACCACATGCCATGCTGGCCCCACCCATGGGTGCCCTGAGCCAACCACTGAGACTGGGCATGGTGGTACACGCCTACAATCCCAATGTGGGGAGGCTGAAAACAGAAGGATCACTATGAGTCTGAGCTATATAGTGAGACTCTGTACCAAATATATTAAAAAAAAAAAAAAAAAAAAAACCAACTCAACAAAAAAAAATAAAACACAAAACAATAAAGAAATAATATAAAGTACACAAAATATTATAGGGTGTGTTTTAAAAATTCAAGATATATTTACATTAAGACAAAAGCCAAACTATATAAGGTGTGATAGAAAAAGTGTTTTAACTTTAAAAATTTTTATTATAATAAAGGCAGATGGCCATTAATCCCCCTCACTTCAAACACACTTATCCCATAATTCTTGCCACTTTCTAAAGCAGTTCTGGAAGTCCCTTTCTGTGAGTCTTTAGTTATGCTCTCGTGGTCACCTCAATGTTCTAAAACAATTCAAGACATTTACTTTTCATGGTGATTTTGACTTTGGACACAGGCCAGCAGTTGAATGGTGCCAGAACCGGTGAATAAGGTGGATGAAGGCACACCGTAGTGTTTTTATAAGCCTGCCTTCCAGGAGCTGGATGGCACTTGGCAGAACCATTCACTGTTTGATTGGATCTTGTAAAGGCACAAACCAGGACTTCTAGAATTGCTTCAGAAAGTGATAAGACTGGATAAATGTACTCAAATTGAGGGGGAGTACTATAATCTTAGAGGGATTAATGGCAATGTGTCATTTATTGTAAAAAAAAATTCTTTTAAATATAAGCATTCACTATTTCTGATCCTCTCTTGTACTTTGTATTATCATCTTTTAGGATTTTTTTTTTGGCCTGCTCAGGTTGTGTTAAGGGGGCGTCTGGTAAGGCATGTGGAGCTGGGGATTGAACCGCAGTCCCCTGCGCCTGACTGGGTTTGCCCCTTGTATTACCATCTTAATAACACTGTTAACAAGATATTAATAATTTTTAAATACTTCATAAGAGAAAATCTGAACTCTTTCAAGCTCTGGAGTTTTAAGAACTTTTAAACCTTGTCTAAACATTAGAAATGATATATTTTGCTTACAAAACACATTCATAAAACCTGCATCTATAGGGGTGTTATAATTAGGGGTGGGTTGGGAGGGTAGTTAGCGGATATTGAACTCAGGGCCTCACACATTTAGGCAAGCACAATGAGCTCATCTTCAGCCCTTGCTCCAAACTTTACTTTGAGACCAGAACTTGCTAAATTGCCCTGGTTGGCCTTAAACTTGCAATTTTCCTGCCTCAGCCTCCGAAACAGCTGTGATTGCAGGCTGCTACCATTCTTATTTTATATTAGTAGAAAGTTTTGAAATGCAATACATGATATAATTTCTGGTAACAATATAGTTTATAACTTTTCTATAAAAATCCTTAAAGAATCAGCATTCAGTAACATAAGGTAGCAACAGGCTCTGGAAAAAATTCCCACCAAATTCAAAAGCTGCTTAACCTAACTAAACTTCAGTATCAGCTCAAATGGGAATGTTTCACTTATTTCTTACAGGCAATTTGGTAGTTAATTAAATAGAATAGGGCAAAAGACAGCAAAACAAAAAATAGCTATCCAATTATTTGTCAATATAGTTTGGTCATTCTTTTCTACTTGGCAGCTGGAAATGAGTGAAAAACACCCCAGGAAAATGTTATTTTCACCTTACATTTGTTATTGCTTTCCATTACATAAAGCTAAAGTAAAAAATCAAACTATAATTCACAGCAATAAGATAAACTAACGTTTGATTCTGGTCAAATAATAGAATTTGTTAAATGTTATATTAAAATTAAAATAATGGTGGCTTAAGTAAAGGAGATAATGATGGATATAAGCCATTCTTTCTCTAAGGATATGGTAGTTATTTTGCAAGCATTGTGCGCAAGAGAAAGAGGGAGGGAGGGAGTGGGGAGAATAGAGGGGAGACTGTAAATTCAAAGCCAATCTAGAAAGAAATTATTCCAGCGTGTCTAGCTTATCAACTATAGTTCTGGTGATGATGCATGAAGCTTACTGTAATTAGCCACACATCTCACATTGCAGCAGAAAATTGTTGTAAAACTTACATACTCTACAAAGGCGCTATTTAAGAATTAAGATTTTCTTACCAAGAGACAAAAGTCATTAAAACATAAGAAAAATAATAAGACAGTTGGGTAAATAATGAACCTCATTATAACTATTAAATGAAGAACTTCATATATAACAAAACCCCTGGAAAAACTTTTAAACTGATCAAACACTGAATGAGTTTTGCATGCCTCATTGTTTAGCATATTAAAACAGAAAAAACTTTTTAAAATTTCACATGAAATGAAAGATTATTCATAAAGACATAAATGAAAGATAAGCTCAATATAAAAATCTTATTTAAGAAGTCTAACCTTTTTTGTAAAACAACACCTCAAGTTGTTTCATGCTGTAAGCCAAAATAAACTTTCTCTCTAAAGTGTATTTCATGGAAAACGGTATAAAATTTTAATGAATCTGGGAAAGACAGGCAATGTATGTATCAGAATGTGCATGAATAGGAACTCTGGACTGTTTAGCTACTGCTAAGGGATAGGCTGGCCGGCTAAGGCTCACTGGCTCAATTCTACACCTCCTAAGGAGAACCTCCTATTTTTTTTTCCTTTCAGAACGTGTTTCCCTGATACCATAAAGTCAGCATTTAAATTCCTGACTTTCATACAAGTTGTTCTTTTAAGCACTGTACACTAATGTTCCTAAATCTTGCTTCCTAACTCCAATTCAGAATTTTATACTTTAGTGTACAACAAATGTTTGGAACTTTAATTTGTAAAGCCTGTACATAGAAACAGTACCATTTTGTCTCACATATTCAACTTCTTTACATGGTTTACACATATACTAAGGGAAGACAATATTCTCATGCTACTCTGGATTCCTTCAGTGACCAAAAAAAGTTATTTATTACATTGACTCTAAGATGTTATTGACTTAATGAATCATACCTCCATGGAATATATAATGGACAAGGAGACTTTTGACAAGTCATCAAATATGTATTGGTCACCTCCAGGGTGCCAGGCCTATGCTGGATTCTAAGTGAGAAAGACAGGTTAGACAGGGTCCTGACCTACCACAGATTCTGAAAGCAGACCCTGACATCAGTGCCTGCAATCACTTCTGAAATGGCATTTTATTATACATAAAGGAAAGATACCACAAAGGGATCAGAGATGCGGCTGTCACACTGTGCAGCCAGGACTCAATTGAGGTCTTCTAACATCTACCTCAATGCCATTTCCTTCTGATCATTATTTATGTTAGAAAATGAGATTTTAAAAAGTAGATACACACAAATGGAAGCATTGAGGGTGTATGCCACCCAAATGTGGAAGGTAATTATTATGGACATAATACTGGTTGAAATTTCTCAAATACTAAGGTAATCACTCATTCTTTTCACTGTGCAAAAGAGTTTAACACACATCTCCTCACCTCACCAGGTTATGGGGTTTTATGTAATAAGGTGGTAGCTGGCACAGTCCTTTAAAGGCAGTAACTACCATGTGGGCTCCACCCGTCTGAACCCTCTCAAGATTCTGCCTTTTCCAGCCAGTCCATGATTTTACTTCTGAGTTCTTTCCCTTTATCCTCTATAAAGGCAGGCCTGGCTCTTTCTATTTCCTGATGTACTCTTTTCCCCCTCCTCTTCTGTAAAAATGACCCTTTACTTTTCCCCCTGACCCTGTATAATGTTTTCTTCTTTATTTTGAAGAACTTAGGTGGGGATATAGCTCAGTGGCACAAGTGCCTGCCTGGCAAACGCAGGGTTCTGAGTTTGATTCCCAGTACCAAAAAAAAAAAAAAAAGAGAATTTAGCTGAAAGAGAAAATCACATTTGACTACTTACAGAGATAATATAATTGAAAGTTTTATTTTTTGTACTTACAAATGACTCATTGCATGATCTATTCAGGCATGAAATAAAGAACCAAAATTAAGTATAATGCAAATATATGTAAATCTGGAGTATTTTTCATAACACAAAAGCACTACAAGAAACTCTGGAATTTAATTAGGATACTGCTATCTATCATACAGTTTAAAGAAGGTCAAATCAGATGTCTTATAAGAGATTCAAATTAATACTGTGGGACTTAATCTTCATGACAACTACTGAGTTAGCGGGCAAGAGTCAACAACATTGAATTATCCCTTAATATAGAGCAGGCAACCCATGAAAGTTACCTCATATGGAAAAATATAAAAGAAATTCCTGCTTGATTCTATCTATAGGAACATTTGAAGGCACAAACCTCCTAATCTATGCATATTTTTCTGACAAGAGAGACAAGTGTTCTGGGATCTCTCATGCATAAGTTGGAAGAACTTGAAAAACTTAAACAACAGGATGTGTGTGTGTGTGTGTGTGTGTGTGTGTGTGTGTGTGAAGTTTGCTCACCTTTCCATCAAAGCGTTTTATAATATACTGATCCAGGCCCAAATCTGTAGGAAAAAAAAAAGTAAATTTATATAGTCACTGATAACTCAAAAGAAACATAAAACAACAGCTTAGTTTTGTTTCCAATCATTCAAATTAAATGTTAGTATCTATTCAAAATTCATGCAAGCCAGGTGTGGTGGCACATGCCTATAGTCACAGCGCTTGGGAGACTGAGGCAGGAGGATTGCCACACGAATTCAAGGCTAGCCTGGGCTACCTTCTAGTGAACTCAAGGCCAGCCTGAACTATACAGGGAGACCCTATTTTAAAAAATTTAAAATTTTTTAAAAATCCACACAAATGAGTATTTTGCCCCTCTTACAGACTCCAAGTGTCAGTGTTAAAAATACTAACCCTTTTACTTTAATGTATCAGAAAAATGAGGCTCTGTGGTATTAGTTTTATGTGTAAGTCTATTAAACAGTAGAGGAAAACTAGACCTCCAGACCCCTGAAAGGCTTTTTTTTTTTTTTTCCCCATTAAATCACCATTAGTTAAGAGAAAGGATATTACTTTAATGTGAATGCAAACAAAAACTTTTTTAAAATCAAGTTAAAGAAAAGAGCTCAGTACCTAAAGAATTTCCACAACAAACAATGGACAAAAAAATGTCAGTCTTACTATTTCTCCCTTTCCCAGTCAATTGAGGCCAAGGCTGCTCTGCCACACTGAACCTCTTTCTTTTTATTTATTCCTCTTTGAGACAGGCTTTTGCTAAATTACCCAGGGTATCCTCAAACTTGGGATGCACCTGCCTCTGCTTTCCAAGTAGCCAGGATTACAAGTGTATGCCATAGTGCATGGCCTACTTCTACCTTTACTCTGGAATACCTAGTTTTGAATTCTGAGTTCTTTGAAAGATACAAGTAAATGTATTAAGGGCCCTTAAGAACAGGGATATTTTGTCTTTGCACAACACGTTATTTCTAGCACTTGATTAATGCTTAATCAATAAATATATGAAAAAGAATGAACAGCATTCAGTTCCTGTCCTAAAGAGTCATAATTCTGCTAGAAATATGTATGAATATAATAATTAGGGACCAGACATTTGCTTCAACGAGAGTGTTGTATGAGTTTTGAGAGTGAAGAGATGTGTTCCCAAATACAATAATTCAGAATATGCAAGTTGTAACTGACAAACTTCAAAGCATTTAATACTCAGATGACACCTATTTTTGTGGCTTACACAAGATATAGTTATCATATAACATATATAATATAATTAAGTTACACTGTTTCAAATTAGTATAAAACATCCAGAAGAATAGAGTATTATTTTAGTTCTAAGCATTAAAACTTGTCTGCCCTTCAGCAGAGTCCAGAGTCTGAATGATAAAAATTTTAACTTATTTTCTATAAGCTTTTGGTCTATAACTATATATTCCTTAGTCTTTTTTTAATTTATTTTTGTTTTTGTTTAGTCTTCTTTTTTTAACTAAGTGTTAACCTTTATAGAGTCAGAGATGGCTCAATTTCAGCAACATCTCATATATAATTTAACCTTTTCTTTTTTTGGTAACATGAATCAAATTCAGGACCTTGCGCTTGCCAGGTAGGAACTTGTGCCACTGAGTTATATCCCCAGTCTCTATAATTTAACTTTTGAAAGTAAGTCTGACAATCTAAATTGGTATGCAAAGGTCATGAAAATTATGGTTGAGGAATCCAGGACACAATGGCTACCAGATATCTAAACCCAATGCTTTTCTTTACATACAATTATTATGACTATAACTGTAACAGACCTGAGAACTAATTTAGTTGGATCCTCTTATTTGACTTCAACTTACATTATTTTAATCCCCTTAGATTATGTTCATCAGGGCCAGCCAAACAACTCAGCTGATTAAAGTGCCTGCTTCGGCAGGCTCAGCGGCTGAGGGTTCGATCCCCGGGGCCTGCCATGCTGGCCCTGTCCCTGGGGCGCACTGAGACTGTGAACAAGACTGGGTGTGGTGGCATGCACCCATAATTCCAGCTCTTGGGAGGCTGAGAACAGGAAGATCACTATGAGTCCGATCTACACAGTGAGACTCTGTACACCCTATAAACCCTGTCCTAAATTAAAAAAAAATAGTAAGATTGTGTTCATCACATGCTTGTAAGTCTTGTATATCAGCAGGTACAACAGTAATAGAGGGAGATACATTTATTGAGTGCTCTGTTTTAGGTACAGTTCTTAGTGTATATTATTATTTCATTTAGTCCTCCTAACAAGTACATAGAACAGGAGTGGTCAGATAATAGTCCTCTGGCCAAATCTACTCCATTAATTTTTTTAAAAAATTTTCTTATCTCAGAGATAAGCAAAACAAACAAACAAAAAGAGAAAAAGTCTAGTATATGCTAGTTTGCCTCTGGTCTGCCAAGCATCAACTATTTACCATCTGGTGTCAAAGAAAAACTTTAAGGGCACATAGCTAATGTCTAATGTCTGTTGTTGGGCATGGTGGTGTGGCCCAAAAACACAGAACTGCGGAGGCTGAGGCAGGAAGATCGCTATAAGCTCTAGGCCATCCTGAACTACATAGCAAGACCCTATCTCAACCCCACTCCCCCCAAAAATAAGAAAGAAAAGAAAAAAAAGGCATTTTAAAAAAATGTTTATTTATTTGGTACAGGGTCTCACTATGCAGCTTGACTTGTAGTGATCCTCCTGTCTCAGCCTCCCCAACACTGGGATTACAGGCATGTGCCACCATACCCTGTTTCAGTGGCTGGTTTGGGGTGTGGGTGTGGGGAGGGGGGTGATGGGGACGGGGGACAGCATGCAGTACTGGGGATTGAACCTGGGTCCTTGTGCGTGCCAGGCAGGCACTTAAGACTGCCAAACTATCTCCCTGGACCCCAAAAAAGCATGTTTTGAAGGTGCTTAAATTTCATAACTCTTAAAAGCCCAAGGAAATATGTGACACATTAATTTTTTTAGAAAAGAATACCATGACTCACATATGCCATGTAAATACAGCCTATGTACTAACTCCCACATATTGTTCTACACCAAGTATCAGCAAAGTTGTTTAGCAAAAGAACAGAAAGTAAAGACTTCCAGTTTCAGCGCTGGGGAGATAGCTCAGGGCATAAGAGGTTGCCTGGCAAGCGCAAGCTCCTGAGTTCGATCCCTGGTATGGCAAAAAACAAAACAAAACAAGACCGCCAGTTTACAGGCCATATACGATTTCTGTTCCAACTGCTCAACTGTTGGTTTACCTCAAAAGCTGTCATACATAAATGAATGAACATAGGTAAAAAGTCCATAAAAGTTTTTAGGAATACTGAAAATTGAATTTCATATAATTTTCTGGTGTCACAAAATATTATTCTTGTGATTTTTTCTTCCTACTCATTGACAAATGTACAAACCATTTTCTGTTCATAGGTTATGTAGAAATAGATGGGTGGTTATGGAGGCCAACCCCTAGTCTAATAGAAACCATAGTATAGGGAAAACAAAATAAAAGCAGAACACAGTAGATAAAGGGAAAAGACTTTGTTGTGGAAATGTTTTTAAAATATATTCACTGTGCTATTTAATTAAGTTCAAACTTGTGTGCTGCTAACTAAAAATGCCATAGGTTAAAACTATCATTAAAGGCATGAAAAGTCTTCCTAGAGAGAATATGGGGTTCAAGAGAACTAAATCACAATAGGATGTACTTTTTCTCCTTTTTGAATCCTTTACATTTTAATTTGCCAGGTAGATAAAATCACATCCAGATGAACTGGCTTGGGCTAAAGAGACAGCTCTATGGTCTAAGTGCCTGCATGGCAAGTGCAAGGACCTCAGTTTGATCTCCATTACTGCATGCCACCATGCCAGCCACCAAAACCAGGTGTGTTGGCGCACATCTGTAATCCCAGTGCTGGGGAAGCTGAGACAGAAGGATCACTAGGAGTCTAAACTGTGTAGCGAGACCCAGTCACAAATATGTAAAATAAATAGTTTTTTTTTTTTTTTTTGTTTTTTTTTTTAAAGATGAATTGGCTCAGCCAGTGGGATATAGTGAAAAGAAAACAAAGATCCTCTTTACAAGAGGGTATGCTTTGCTCTGGCCAAAGTTCAAGTTTTCCCACATGGAACTTTTAAAATGTTCCCCATTGCCACTGGTTACATAAATTATTGCCTTGATATGCACAACTGGTTGTTCTAACAGTGACAAGTCAATCAAAGCCCATACTGAAGTAACTGCCCAATTCACACTATCCAGAGATGGCAATGATGTACACATTTTACAGAAGGGCAGATGAGACATGCTCAAGTCACACACACAATTTTATTTTACCATTTAATAGGCTTCCTCCTTAACTTTGGCTACTTTACAGCATAGCAATATTTCTAGTCAACTTTCACCTCTCAAATTCATCAGCTTGCTACTCATTTTAAAACTGCTTAATTTTAGGGCTTCACATACTCTATGCTTCATGATTATTTCTGAACTGTTCTAAAACTAAAACTTACAAATTTAGATCTGTTGGATATCCTGGGATACAGTATGTGTGAAGTCATGACAAAACAAAGTTGAAATATGAGCGACTGGCTACAGTCCAGGCATCTGATAAATTCAAACTATAAAAAATCTACAGCAAAAATCTTTATTTCAACTCATATAGGAGTAATATATACTTTACTTCTGCTGTATCAACATTTATGGGAATTCTTGCTAATGAATAAATGAAAATGATGCCAATTTCCCGTTGAATTTCATTTTAATATATTAGAATATTCCCTTACGATTATCATCTCAGAAGAAAATTATTCATTATTCTGACTTTTTATGAAAACTAGGAACGTACTTGGCATATTAAACATTCAATAACTACTCTGTTTATGTATCAGGTCTTTCAGTAATTAAAAGAATGAGACCAGGAGCCAGTACAATGACATATGCCTGTAAACTCTACTGAGGAGGCTAAGGCAGGAGGACTGTAAGTCTGAGGCTAAGAGACAATTTAGTAAAACCTTGTCTTAAAATAAAATTTAAAAAGAGATAGAGATATA